GCAGCGCCAACTGAGGACCCGTAACGGGACCATTCCCCACCGCAGTCCAGTCCTCCCGGCCGCACCAAGCTGTACAGACGCTCCCAATGCTCTTTATGAAGAATGCGTTCGTTCGGGTGCGTACAAGTGCCCCACCCCTACCCGATACTGTTCCCTTTTATCTCTCTTCGTGAAGGCACGAGAAGAGTGGGGTTTGTTTCCATGTCTCCGTGCTTTCTTCGTGGTCTAAACAGGCAAGAGAAACACATACGTCACATGTCACATCTACTGAACGCACGATCCTGGATTCCTGGTACGAGTACTGCTTTGAAGTGCCGGATCATTTACGGGCTGCTTTCCCAGAACTTACACCTGACGACACTCACAAAGAGTAATCGTGCGTCATGGTGTCAGCCATGCTGTGCATCATACTCGACCGGGTCGAAAGGTTTTAGACTTGACCTAATCCCACCCATTAATCACAGCGATGGCACGCGATGAAACTGCTGGATTCCGCGCCCCCGCAGCGGCGAGGGGAATTTTGCAGGCGTGCTGTCAAAAAATAGCCGCTTCTCGACATACCTTTCAACAACGTGATTGAACAAAGTGTTCTCTATTCTTATGCTTCCGCTGCCGCCTCTGCCTCTGCCTCTGCCTCTGCCTCTGCCTCCGCGCTGAGTGGGCGGGGAAATCTTGTCTGCGCAATGACACCCATGACTTGCAGTCCCAGACTTGCCAAGTCACTTGCACGAAATTATCTGCTGTGAATCGGAATGGACCTTTTGCGTGAGCCCGTATCACCCAGCAAGACATGTGTTTATGGAGGCCGAACGCCTTAACCTGCACCACCCATGCAAGCGTCCACCTCACCATGTCCACGATTGGAAATGCAGTGAGCGATCACCACCGTCAAACATTGCCAGCGCAACCGCATATTCAGCAACTGTCATTGTCATGCAACAAATATTGTATCCCCTTCATGCCTCGTGGTATCATCCTACCGATGGATGAAAGGGATGTGTCCTAGTGCCAGTTAGTGTAATACGGCCACACACCGGGGAGTGTGGAAATTCTGGATAACAACTTAACAGGCTGAAACAATGATCGTAAATCATGTGTGCAGAAAAATCTGGTCAGCATGCTCGTGTGGCCGGATGGCGTATTATATAGCATGAGACGTCCGTCCCAGATGACGGATACTGAATAGATCCTCGATCAGAATGCTGAAGACTCTGCCGAGGCTCTTGGGGTAAAGGTCCAGCGGCCGTAGCTTTGCCATCAATTCCGCAGAGCGGCAATGCGTGTGTGCGCATGCGTTCGAAGGGCAACCGAAACTCGATTCACAGAACCCAACACAAAGCAATTTCCCGCTATATAGGTACTCCGTAGCGTGTTCTGTCCAGATCATCCAAAGCGTGAAGAACACCCCTCTCAGTCCTGCTTTACCAATTTCAGGGCCCCCCTCGCTGCCGTTTGCGCGAACGGGGACCTACCGGACCGTTTAGGGACGAATATGCAGCTTCATCATTCCCCCTTACCCCTTTTCTTGGCCTCGCTAGTGTTACCAAATAAGGATGAGCGCGTCGCATCTTCAAGATTTTCCCCAATCTTGTACTCTTCACCAAAGATTTTTTCTTTGTTTCCGTGTACATATTCCAACAACCCATTGGCGCTTCTCAGAATAGAGTGATTCTTTGATCTTTATTTACAGTCCACTTCGTGACTAGCTTGGTGCTCGGCATTTTGCGGTCGAACCTTGCAACCACAGAAGACCCACGCAATCAAGGAGAAGAAGATCCCTCCTCATGCAGAATCCCCACTCGTCTTAACCCTTTCTCGCGTCTTTCGTCCAAGTGAAAAAGTCAGCGGTTTAGGTCTCTTCCTCCCCTGGCACCGTTCTGGATTTTGAGTTGTCTCACGGCACCCGCCTCTCGACGGCCAACCAAAAGCCAAATGCTTGTCAAGCAGTACTGTCCCCAACGAGATAAGAGGATTTACACTGATCCTTTAGCGTCCGCACTGCTCCTACGCTGTACTGCCGAGTTCGATACATAGGATCGTACCTCGCTCCTGCTCGTCCAGACATCCCTAGGATCGCCCTGTCAGTTCATGTGGGTCAGCACGCACTGATATGAATAAGATATCGCTAGAAATTATTTGGACATTCCCATAATGTCTCTGGATCCTACAGTGCCAGATTTTTCAACTCTGTCGATCTTCAGTTGGCCACCTGAATGACAAAATAGGCATGCCATTGGGATACCACTTAACACTTAACTTCCCCTCCCTTCTACTTTGCATCCTCGTCCCCTGGTCCCAAACGGGCCCGTTAAGAAGTCTTTAGGTCGCGTGGTCGCTCTGGATCACGTCATGCCCCGGGAAATCTAAGGCTTCGTTCGGTACAAAGACACAAGTTTCTTTTTCCTGTTTCTTCGTACTGAATGAAGCCTAAATAATCTACCGGAGTCTGGATCTTCCGCGAGATTCCAATGCCGGTTGCATTTGTTTTCTCATCTATACGCGCACAGGATGTCACGAGATGCAGGCGATGAATTACCAGGCTACAATTGTTATGAGGGTGAACTGGATGGCCGAGCTTGCATTTGGATCCGATGAAGTCCCACGGGGTGACGATTTCTCACGGGGTGACGATGCGCAATTCACAACGCGCTTTCCCACGGAAAAAAAAACGAACCCCCTCTGTAAACAAACGCCTCGCAAGCTCGGCCAATCATCATAGCGAACGACAGAAAGGGAAAACCAACGTAAAGGTTGTTAGAGGAGGCTCAGATCCACCGAACCGTACCGGCACAATAAACACGATAAGAATCCAACATCGTACATCTAAGATCAGATAGGGAGCTCGAATTACAACACCGCGCGTCCACGGTCTGGGAACTCGTCCAGCCTTGGAAGCAAAGGCCAAATTGTATACTCTCAGCTGGCTCTTACGCAGAATCTCCAAGACCAAGTTTGTTCCGGATTCCAGCACGAGTCTGTCTGGCGAGGCGCGGATGGCTCTTTCTACCCTTCGCATAGCGAGCACCGAACATGTCTACGAATACCTCCTCAAGAATGGAGGCAGTGAACCAGCAGTTCTCCTTTTGTGTTCGTCAGTAAACAACTAGCCGAGAACAGCTGCCGCTCACCGCGAATAGGTCGTATGTACTGCACCCCCCAAGGACGATCTCGAGCACCCTGCCAAACTTAAGCAGTGGGATTGGTTGGGGCAGGTCCAGTCGTGCTTCCTCGATTGACTTCGCGTCGCGGAGCAGGTGCGAATTCTCGGACACCGTTACCTAGGCGAAAATGATGATTTACATGATCATTGTCGTGGCAGGGTGTGAAACCCACCGTATCCATTGCATCGGACTTTCCATGGCACAAACTGAATTGGAACAGCGAGAGGGCACGATCCCGGAAACGGTCAACCCGAAGGACGAAATCTGGCATCCCCTCCCGACTGACTCGTAGGATAAGGAACCGGTGTCGTACCATGCCGCTATCCCTGAAACGACCAATAGAGACAATCTTTGCATACTGTGCGTGCATGTCCCTACGCACTTCATGGAAAAAGACGTGTGCGGAATAAGTGGTGTAGGAACTTGGAAGTGCGTGCGTAGCTACATCGAATGAGCATGCGACCGGTGCACGACGACGATGGAAAATACCTTTATGACTTCCTAGTTCTTCGAAAGCTGATGCATCCACCCACGGCCTATCTTCACCCTAGGACGTTGTAATGAGAGCTGAGATGGTACTGGAGAATCAGCCATACGCACCCCCGCCGTTGACGTATCCGCATCAGTGCTAAGCTGACACTCCGCATGGACAGCTTCCTCCCGACTCTTGCCCTTCTTTCTGCTATGAATAATCATCGGAGCGAATCCCTGAGGCTTCGGCAAGAAAGGTGTAGCACTCTGTTTCAACCACCGGGCGAGTAGTTCCGTCCCACTGCCAAAGAAACGTGAAACGCTCCTCCCATGACGATCATGATGTCTGGTAGAATTATGCAGGACAAAAGTGGACGGTAATTGGGTCGCAGTGGAATTGGCGGAAGGGACAATGACGGGTGAGGGCGGTCGGAAGTGTATCTCTTGAGAGTTGGTTAACATAGGTTGATCATCTCCGGGAGAGCCGCCGAACGAAAGGTTGAGGGAAGGAGGAGTGACAGGGTCGAGTGGCTTCGCAGGGATCCCACTGTCACTAGCGGTAGTAGCGAAGAGTATTGGCATTCTGAGGAAGGAGGTTTTCAGATGAAAAGCCTCTTTCACCTTCCAACACCCACACTGCTGAGATATACCTAGGGAACTGCTGGGAGAACTGGGAATGATCAAGGGGAGGACATGAACATTTGAATACAACATTTGGAAAATTGAGATTGACAAATTGAAACTATGTGGCGGCGGAGGACGGCGGTCGGATATGGTTGATCATATACTTTACGGGGGGATGCGGATTTTCTGTCTCTGTGCCGCTCGGCATTGCCCGTTTCAGTGGTGTGTGTTTCCTGAAAAGCATAGGAGCATAGTTTGGTGGTGAGGCAGGTGGAGTGGGAAAAATACTTCATTTGACTATTTGAAATTGGAATGATCGGTTGCATACGCACATGCCCAAGCCTTGGGAGTATATATATATATCGCCCGACGGCCTGGGACAACCGCACTGCCACATCATCACGAGGCCGTGGGGCATTGAGATAGATTTATTTGTTGTTAATAGAGGCTGGAGTCCTGCCTATCTTGGGTGTTGGAAAGTTTTAATGCGAACTACGGCCTCCAAACCGAGGCCGCTCGTGTTCACACCTTCTGCATTGTGCAACATTATGTAATGACAAAATACCTCAAACCACCAGCCAATGATAACAACGTTGGAGACTGAGCTCTCTCAGCAGTAGCACAGGTGTCCAAGCGCATCATCCAATGCACTCCTGTGCGCCTGGAATGGCACCATCTCAGGCCCTCACCGAAACCTGTGGTCGGCCTCGTGCCCTGGACACCCATGGCCGAGCATTACCAGAAATGCCAGTGCGGACCCCGAGATGTGTGTGTGTGTGTGAGCTCTGGATATTTAACGTGCACGTGCAGGCTGCCTGAATGAGGCGCCAAGGGCACAGATCAAAAGATCAAAAATTATGTACAAGAGGGGAAGTAAAACATATGGATGCGTGGGTTCGGAGCGCATAGGGTAGAGATGGGCATGAACATGCCGGTTCATGAACCGGTTCATGAACGTTCATAAACTTTGGTTCATGAACCTCCAGGTCATGAACTTTCCCACGAACGGCCGTTCACGTGAACTGGTTCATAAACTTCAATACATCAATAGATTTTCTATTAGCCCAGCCACCGCAGACCGCCGTTTAGCCACTACTTCAATTATAATTCCTTCTGCTTCGCCTCTTCAGAGTTCAGACACATGTTAGACACCCCTCTGATAATAGACTGGTCAACGGATGTGGATGTGACACAGACAGGGAAGGTTATGGATGTCCAGGCTATGCAGTTGGGCTGGAGCGATGCAAATGTTGCAGGTGTGTGTCGATGTTGTCCTTATCACATTTGCTCGGTTAAACTATCTTCAGAGCATACAACAGACACCGGTGGAGGAGTGAATACTATGCTCACTTCAATCAAACACTCTCGCGGGTTCCAGCCAAAGGCACGGAACCAGCTCATTTGTCGTCTCATGTTTCATGTTTGCAAGTCAAGTCATCCTGGTTGCTGCCATGTGCAGAACATGTCCACAGATAAGCTCAAACAGAAGACTATGAAATGTAATGTGGCTCATCTTGGTGTCATCTCATCCCTGAAAACTCTACTGCGGCAAAATTTGACCGACACTACCCATCGCATGCTTGTTGCCCCGAATGCATGCATGTCCAGTTTATCTTTCGAGCCAGTGCTGATTTGGTCTACTCATATCAGCCCTATAACTGTTATGGCAACCTTGACAGTGAAGATGACGATGATACGGATGATGAGCTAGACTGGTACCCCAACTCGGGGTTAAGGCTAAAACCTTAAAGAGCGAGGCTTGAGCCAATCAGAGAGCGAGAAACGGTGGACCCGCACTATTAGGTAACCTAATATAATGTTCATGAATGGATTGTGAACGGTTCACAAACGGTTCGTGTGACCCTCCTTGGACCCTGAAAGTTCATGAACTTTGGTTCACGCGGTTCACGTGAAGTTCATGCCCAACTCTAGCATAGGGGTACTCGTACACCGTTTCCGGGGGGGAGTATACATTTTGGATTTGTTGGCAACGGATGCCGGCTCCGAGCATTGTTGGCCAGACACGTAAGTGTGCCTCTTGATGCGTTGGAGAACCGCGGCGAAACGGGTTAGTTGAAATGGCTCCTGGGAATGTTGGCCAGACGACTCCTTCGTGCCTCTTGGTCCTTTGGAGAACCGCGCTTCGGTAACGTAGGCGGGGGCAATAACCGTTAGGCGCGGAGCCGCGTGTTTTGCAAACCACTCAGTGCTTTCGTAAGAGAAGGAAGGGAGATAGACTTGTGCCCATGGTCTCTCGACTACTGTGAGCAAGAAGGTAGGAAAGTGGAAGGTGATGGAAGAAGGCGGCACAGAACGGTGCAAAAGGCCAACGCAGGATAACGGGTCGTGTAAGTGCCATCCATGTTGTTATCCATCGCGGCAAAGGAGAACCTCTTAGACCCAAAACCAGCAGCCACATTGGGCGTACTGGGGGAGCCTCTAGACCACGGCAAGGTGGGTTCTCGTCCTAGAGGACCCCGAGATGTTGCCACTCCCATTCTTATCTCATCACGCGACATTTTTTTTTGCGACTGTAAATGGGGGTCAGCAATCCATGTTGAAGCATGCCACCCCCACGTGACCCACTTTTCCCCGCGAAACCTGGCGAGTCCTTTGATCATCCAACAAAGTGCTCAAACTCTCTCCGATCTCTTGATTATTGTTATTAACGTCAATATATGGTCTCTAGTAATCTAAATGGCCAGTTATTTTGAAAATTACTCTGTGGGATTGTGCTGATTGGCTGTCATCATCTCGCTATCTCCCGCATCCTCCATTTCTCGCCCTCTCCTGCGCTCAATTGCTACCACCAGCTCTCTAACCTTGTCAGCTTTCTTTGGCATGCGACTGCTGAGAGGAACTAATGCATCTTGGAGCCTATATGCGTTTAGCTGAGGCTCCAGCTGCACGATAGTTGTCTTCGGGTTTCTTGCCCATTCTATGTCGTTGGTGAGTTCAACCGCCTTTAATGCCTCGATTTTAGTGGTGTATTTGAGTTCCTTTATCTGCCTTTTCCTCCTATTTTCTGCAACCTTCACTATTCCAGCATCTGCAAGCAATTTTCTACGAGCTTTCTCGGATCCCGACGCACTGATACATCGACCGGCTGTCCGCAAGATCTTGTGTTTTCTTGGCGTAAGCTTTGCTGTGATGAATTCGTCAACATCATTATGACGGATCATTAGTTCTGCGTTGAGAGTATCTAAAGTCTTTGTTGGGTTTTTGGTCAGTGCACTGCGCATTTCTCCTAGAAGTCCCTCATTTGTGTCGTTGGTTGTAGGCATGAAGGCAAGCTCCTTCTCCTCTGGACTCATCAAATCGATCTCAGACCCTTTCATGAGTTCAGCTGAGAACCGTGTAAGGGTGTCAAGTGCCCGTTTGGTGAATGCGATGAATGCGTCACGGAGGTTGGGGAGGTGTGGAGAAAGATGTTGGATGGCCTGAATGGTATCAGGTCTAATCCAATGGTTCCGCTTGTCAAGGTGAGCCATGTTTGGTTCTGCATCTCATCAGCAAAAGTCCGTTATGCTCCGGAGCATCAAGAGTGGCTGGAGCATGTGGGAGACAAAACAGCAGATTGGGCACTCCTGGAGCCAATAGTGTTCTCCTGGGAGGGGGTTCAGGAGCAGCTGGGAGTGGTGAGGAGTATGTAATGTGCCAGGAGCAGTGGGAGGAAAATTTTGGTCTCTAAAAAGTTGAAAAAAAAAATTTAGGGAAAAATCAAAAAAAAATTCAGGAACTATAGTGCCTTTAAAGTGCTTTCAGGACATATAATTATTTGCAAAATTGAGGAAGAAATGATGGAGAAAAATGGAAAATACTTTCGGAGACCCGAGAAATAATGAGAACTGAATTGACAGGAAAGTCTGAAAATTGAATAGGAAAGTGAGGGGAAGCCTTGTAAGCATTGTTATTTTCTGCTGTTCTGATTTTTCCTGATTGTTCTTGGTCTCACTCCCAGCTGCTCCTGGACCCTCCCAGGAGCTTTCAGGAGCTTCCAGGAGTATTGAGGAGCAGCTGGGAATGAGACCAAGAAGAATCGGGAAAAATCAGAACAGCAGAAAATATCAATGCTACAAGGCTTCCCCTCACTTTCCTATTCAATTTTCAGACTTTCCCATCAATTCAGTTCTTGGGTCTCCAAAAGTATTTTCCATTAGCTGCTCCTGGACCCTCCCAGGAGCTTCCAGGAGTATCCAGGAGTATCCAGTAGCAGCTGGGAGTGAGACCAAGAACAATCAGGAAAAATTAGAACAGCAGAAAATAACAATGCTACAAGGCTTCCCCTCACTTCCCTATTCAATTTTCAGACTTTCCCATCAATTTAGTTCTCATTATTTCTCGGGTCTCCGAAAGTATTTTCCATTTTTCTCCATCATTTCTTCCTTGATTTTGCAAATAATTATATATCCTGAAAGCACTTCAAAGGCACTACAGTTCCTGATTTTTTTTTGATTTTTTCCCTAATTATTTTTTTCAACTTTTTAGAAGTCCCTATTTTTCAAATTTTCCTCATTTCCCTCTATATCCCCCCCTCATTCTCCCCCTCATTCTCCCCTCATTCTCCCCTCATTCTCCCCCTCATTTCCCCCTCATTCTCCCCCATTTCCCCCTCCCCCATATTCTGCCAGCCCAAAAGTGATTAAGTTGCCAGATTAATCATATATCAGGCCATAAATTTTGATTGTGCATTGGTGAGTCTCAGTGTCCTTGATATATAGTATAGTGTTTGATCTAAGTGTTAAGCAGTGTCTTGTTGTGTTAGTCTTGTGGTAGGAGGTATTCATGGGGGATCTTCCCTCTTTTTTTCCTTTTCATTTTCAAATGCTCCAGGAGCTCCCAGAAGCTTCTCACCCCTATACACTTTGAAGCATTTAAATTGTATTTACTGGATATGTTTGTGCACAAAGCAATGCTCCAGGCCCTCCTGGGAGTGCCCTGGAGTACCTAGCCAACTCCGGAGGAAATGGGCTGTTCCTGGACCGGCCAATCTCCTCCTGATTCTCCCAGTGCTCTCGATACTCCGGAGCACTCAGGAGCATAACAATTTTTTGCTGATGCTTTACCCAAAACAAGGTCGGGATTAGCTATGAGGGATTGCATGAAGGTAAAAACGTGTTCATGCCATGCTCCCTCATTTAGCATGTTTACTTCCATTGGCCTTCCCCTCCTAGCGTGTTCCACATATGGGTGAGAGACACAGAGTGAGAATAGAGACATGACTGCAAGTTCCATGAGCGTAGGAATATCGTTGAGTGCATCATAGAGGTTTGCCTCAATGTTGGTAAATTCTTGTTTATCCTTTAAGTCCCGGATGTACTCAAGGAAGCTTCGGTACAATGGTGCTCTAGCAATTAGCTCGCTTGCCGCATCCCCATGTGAACAATAGCAAGTGTTGGAGACATCCGGGAAGGGAGGACAATTTTTTCCGAGAGTCCTTTCCATAAAGTGACAGTAGGTATCATGATATCCTTTTTTGTCATCACGGTGATTTAGTAGGAGACCGGCAAGCATTGTAGCTTTAACCCCTCCAGCATCACGTCCTGAAGATGGCTTTGACTTTGCATCAGTAGAGGCTGATGCTTTATCTTTGTTGAGAAGTGGCCGAGGTGGGGTAAGGTTGTTATTCCTCCAGAAATCATCAAGAGAAGCGCAGCCAGCCTTGAATATATTGAGATCTTTGTGCATGGAACACCCAACCCAGACAAAGTTGAAGATGTCACGGTGTTCGTGATCTGTAAGTTTGTCCGATACTTCGGTACCAAGCTGATGAAGTGACTGAAGCTTGGCCGCTTCAAGACTTTCCTCCCTCTGAGCATCTGATAAGGCCTCCCAAGCGCTGTTCCCACCCACTGCTGCAATGGCAGCAATCTCGTTCCTTGCATTGATGAGATTTCGCTCATGTTCTGAGAACCCTGACCAAGCATTGTGGCCAAGCTTCTGGATACAGTGCTCCGCCTTCTTTGCCTTCATTAGCTGAGCCCTTTTCTTCTGGTCCTCAGCATGGTCAGAATTAATCCCCCTGAGTTTTGTATAAATCGAGGAAATATCCCCCAGAGTATCGGGCTCGGAATTGCAGTGTCCAGTACGCGTCTGTAGGATATCCGGGAGCGCATCTTCAAATCCTTGCACCTGTGCCTCACTACAATGCGATGTTGCAGTTTGCATGGCAACAAATCGGTTCTTCCGGACTTGAGGGGTGGTGATACCCTGCTCCTTGCGCTTGTAATCGGGAACCTTCATCATGATGCTTGTGGCTTCATATTGTGTTTTCCTGTGAGAAGTTCCATCTCCACTCGTAGTAAAGGCTGTCAGAAATTACTTAGAATAGATATGTGTCTGTAATAGTAATATGAGGCAAACCTTCGGTGTGGATGAGTTCTGAAGCTAACTGGAGCTTCCCCGCTTCAAGGGCTTCTAGGACTATTCTTTGTATGGTACGGGGGTTTGGAGGGTTTTTGAGTGGTTTTCCAAGCATTTTGGAGACCTCATATACTGCCTTTCCAACACTCCGGAAGGGAACTCCATCTCGGACCAAGCGACGAATCAGCGTGTGGGCTTCCGGTGTGAATGTACCATTTAAGATCAATGGAGAAGACAACATGTTCTTCATGCATTTTTTTATCTTGCTTATTTGCCGACAATGGGACCGTTTGAGATTTTTGACCTTCTGACGGAGTTTTGCTATCAAGTTGGACTTCTTAGTG